GGCTCGATCCCAGGACCCTGGGATCATGACCTGAGCCGAAGGCAGACGTTCAACAACTGAGCCACCCAGGCGCCCCTCTACTAACAACTCTTTCAAAAAGTATTACCTGTAGCCATATTTGGACCTTCCTGGGCTAATTTCACTGGAATAAATTGGAAAATAAAAGGCATTAAGTATGCCTAGCTGCCAATGAAGAGTACAATTCTCAAAGGATTATTCTAATTTAGTTTCCAAAATTAAAGTATTTTTTAAAACTACATGAGCATAATATAATTCCTAGTCTAAAACTATTTTATTATTCCTGGTCTGAAACTATTTTAGATATACTTACTGGGAGCATAGCTTCAGCCCATTCTCCATGTCCTCTCTGTAGAAGTTTGATTCTTTCCAGATCATAACAAACTTGTACAAGATCACCCACTTGAAACTGTGAGGTACCTCCTTCTGCACCCTGAGCAGCATCACCACTTCGGACAATGTTTGCTTTAGTGAGAACAGCAGGATTGAAGGTCCACCTAAAAATCAAGCCAAAACTCAAAATTTAGGTAAGTTTACTTAATTTTAATACAACACTCTTAGCTAAACACTGAAGGGGAAAAAGTCTTGTAACACATCAACAGAGTAAAGCAATACTTTGCAATGATATCCTGAATGATACGTATTTCTTTTTATAATTGTATTATGGGAATTTAAGAAAAGACTTATCTGTAATCACCACACTAATATGATATCCTTCTGTCTAGTTTTCTCTTGCATGTTTTAAAAATTATTATAAAATACACTCATTGTTAAATATTAAAACATTTCAGAAACACATAAAGTGAAATTTCTATTTCACACAAACACACCTGGATCACTATTTCCTATCCCACTACTAACCACACTGTTAATATTCATTGTGGCGTCAACTATACTTCAGTTAACAACAAAATCTAATGAAATTGGGACAAAAATACCCCATTGTGCATCCTTGAAATCTTCTATTAGTGCGTTAATATTTATAAGGTAGAGAGTTGTTTCCTTTTTCATAAACAGGAGATTTTATATATATATATTTTTATATATATATATATATATATATATACACACACATAGATCTCTTTTTCAGTGTGACAGGCATAGAGCTACTTATTTCAATTCAATGGCTACAGTAGTCCTTTGCAACGTTATACACTAATGCAGTTAGCCATTCTCCTACTGTCATTTAAAGTATTTTCAAATTTTCACTATGACAAACAGTATTATAAAGAACATCTCTGCATGAACATCTTAGTGCACATGAGGTCAGTAATTTCATTAGTGATTCTTAAAAAGTTACCTAATCACAGTATATATTTGTTTACAATTCTGATAGAGCCAAATTGCCCTAGACAGTGCACCATTTCTCCATACCATTAATAATCTCGGATAAAAATAGTATCTAGTTTTAACTTGTCACACATGGGTATTTCACATGATTATAATCATTGCCTCAAAACAAATCTGGATTCTGATTTCTTCTTTGCTACACACAAGCATTTTTCTATGTTGCTACCATCTTCATAACTACCATTTTATTGACTACTTAATATTCTATCAAATAGATGTCCCACAATATATAACACAACATTTCTCCCAGTCCTATATGTCATTCCATAGAAAAAAAGGTTCCCCAAACAAGCTTTTACAATATAACATACTCCCCCTCCTCCCCTTAATTCAAATGGTCATCAGCATATAAAAGACTCTGAGAGGTCATAACATATAAAAACTTGTTACTAAGTTCTTATAACCATGTAAGCAAACTTTTCTTTCTAAAGCAACCACAAAGAGAAAGAAGTGTCTCTGACCAGTTAAGAATAAAAATCAGACATGCAAACATTTCCTTCCAGCCTTACAATCACAGTGCTTTTTACCTTGCTCCTAATACTCCAAAACTGATGAGACCTATGACAGCGCTGGGACACGGCACCTCAAGGTGTTACCTCTGCGTCCAGTGCTGCCCTCTCGATGAAAACGCAGTCCGTCTTTTAAACTCACTCCATAGGTAATTATCTCTCTGAAGCTTCCTCTGAATTTGCCTCGTTGAAATTACCACTCTTCTTTTGCACCTTCAGAATACCCTGAATACTCATCTACCATAATTACTTACAGCATTTTAGTGCAGTTATTTCTGGTTTTGTCTATCCAAACTAAAAGCGACACCCCTTCAAAGCAGAGGACCATATCTTAATTGTCTTTGTAATCCTAGCACTAATCACAGGGCTAATATAGGACAAGTACTTATTACATTTTTGTTGAAAAAAGAGCACAAAAAAGATTATTTTATAGAATTCAAATGTCATGTTACTGTTGACACTACTGCCCGAGAAAGAATTTTGACCAAGAAAGAATTTGGCAAGTAATAATCCCAATTTATCTTAACATTTCCAAACAAGGTAACACAAAATGTCAGTAAAAAGTAAACCTAAATGTTTACATGCTAATCTGAACTTAAGTTGTGTAAATTTAAGATTATTTCCTTCTCTTTTTCTTAACAGCTTTGAGATATAATTCATATACCATACAATTCACTCATTTAAAGTGTTGAACTCGGTGGTTTTAGTATATACACAGCCTTATACATCCAAGTACTATCAAATTTCATTTTCATCACCACAAAAAGATACTCCAAAACGATTAGTTGTCGATCCACATTTACCCCTCACAGCCCAGCTCTTAACAATTAGTAATATACTTTGTTTCTACATATTTACCTATTCTGGATATTTTACATAAATCACATAATACATGACCTTTTGTGACTGGCTTCTTTCACTGAGCATAGTATTTCTTTTCTTTTTTCTTTTTTTTAAGAGTTTATTTATTTGCTAAAGAGAGAGATAGAGAACAAGCAGGGGGGAGCAACAGGCAGAGGGAGAAGCAGGCTCCCCAGTGAGCCGGGAGCCTGATGTGGGTCTCGATCCCACTGGGATCATGACCTGAACCAAAGGCAGACGCTTTACTGACTGAGCCACCCAGGTGTCCCTCACTGAGCATAATATTTCAAGATTTATCTATGCTGCAGCATATATCAGTATGCCATTCCTTTTTATGGCTGAATAATATTCCATTATACGGACACATCATATTTTGTTTATCCATTCATCAGTTGATGGACATGTGGGTTGTTTCCACATTTTGGCTGTTATGAATAATGCTTTGACAAACATTCAAGCATAGGTTTTTGTGCGGACACATGTTTTCAATTCTCTTGAGTATAAACCTAAGAGTGGACCCGCTGGGTCATATGCTAACTCTATATTTAACATTTTGAGGACCTACCAAACTGTTTTCCAAAGCATCAAGACCACTTCACATTCCTACTATCAATGTATGAGGATTTGGTTCTAATTTCTCCACACCCTCACCAATACTTTAATTATATACTCTTTTATTTTAGCTATTCTAGTATGTGAAGTGGTATCTCACTGTGATTTTAAATTACATTTCCCTAGTAACTAATAACATGAGGCATATTTTCATGGGTGTTAACTCCTAACTCATACTGTGACTGTACTTGGAGTTAGGGCCTTTAAGGAAATGTTAAGATTAAATGAAGTCCTAAAGGTGGGGCACTTATCCACCAGGACTGATGTCTTCATAAGAAGAGGAACAGACGTGGGAGATGTCTCTCTTTCTCTCAGCATGCACAGAGAAAAGGTCACGTGAGGACATAGTGAGAAGGCAACCAACTACAAGGCAGGAAGTAGTCTCAACAGAAACCAACCCTGAGGGAACTTTGAACTTGAACTTCTAGCCTCCAGAACGGTAAGAAAATTAATTTCTGTTGTTTAAGCCACTCAATCTGTAGTATTTTATTATAGCAGCCTTAGCAAACTAGCACAATGCAGTTATTGGTCATCTTTATATTTTCTTTGGAAAAAATGTCTATTCAAATATTTTGTCCATTTTTTAAATGGGTTGGTTGTCTTTTATTGTTGAAATAATTTCTGTTGTTTAAGCCACTCAATCTGTAGTATTTTATTATAGCAGCCTTAGCAAACTAGCACAATGCACTTATTGGTCATCTCTGTATTTTCTTTGGAAAAATGTCTATTCAAATATTTTGTCCATTTTTTAAATGGGTTAGTTGTCTTTTATTGTTGAATTATAAGAGTTCTTTATATATTCTAGATACAAGTCCCAAATCAGACATATGATTTGCAAATATTTTCTCCTACTCCATCACTGTCTTTTCACTTGTTTCCTTCAAAACACAAAATTTTTAAACTTGATGATGTCCAATTTATTCACTTTTTCTTTGGCTCTCCTGCTTTGGGGGTCACATGTAAGAAACCACTGTCTAATCCAAAGTCACACAGATTTATACTTATGTTTTGTTCTAAGAGTTTTATAGTTTTAGCTCTTACATTTAGGTCTGTGGTCCATTTTTTACTTCATATATATTTATTTTTTTTTTTTTAAGATTTTATTTATTCATGACAGAGAGAGAGAGAGAGAGAGGCAGAGGCAGAGGGAGAAGCAGGCTCCCCGCAGAGCAGGGAGCCTGATGTGGGACTCAATCCCAGGACCCTGGGATCATGACCCGAGCCAAAGGCAGACGCTCAACCGACTGAGCCACCCAGGTGTCCCTTTTACTTCATATTTCTATATGGTGTATAGCTGGGGTCCAATTTTATTCTTTGCATGTTGATAACTAGCTGACTCAGCACCATTTTCTTTTCATTGCAGCTTTATTTATTTATTTATTAGAGGTATAACTGACATATAACATTAGATTAGTTTAAGGTATACAACATAATGATTAGACGTTCGTATGAGTATACCTCATTTTATTGCGCTGCATAGATATAGCGTTTTTACAAATTGAAGGTTTGTGGCAACCCTGTGGTGAGCAATGCTATTGATGCCATTTTTCCAACAGCATTTGCTCACTTCCTATCTCTCTATCACATTTTGGTAATTCTCACAGTTTTCAAACATTATATTTGTTATGATGATCTGTGATCAGTGATCTTTGTTTTTGTTTGTTTTTTGTTGTGATCAATGATCTTTGATATTATTACTGCAATTGACTTGGGGAGCCACACCCATGTAAGACAGAGAACTTAATCTATAAATGTGTGTGTTTGGACTGCTGCAAAGACCAGAAGTTTGCCATCTTTACCATCTTTCTCCCTCTCCTCCAGCCTCCCTATTCCCTGAGACGCAACAATATTGAAATTAGGCCAATTAATTACTCTACAATGGCCTCCAAGTGTTCAGGTGAAAGGAAGAGTCACACATCTCTCACTTTAAATCAAAAGCTAGAAATAATTCACCTTAGTGAGGAAGGCATGTCAAAAGCTTATATAGGCTGAAAACTAGGCCCCTTTTACCAGTTAGCCAAATTGTGAATGCAAAGGAAAAGGTCTTGAAGGAAATTAAAAGTGTTACTCCAGTGAAAACATGAATGATAAGAAAGTGAAACAGTCTTATTCCTGAGATGGAGAAAGTTTGAGTGATCTGGATAGAAAATAAACCAGCCATAACA